GAGGTCACCATGCTCCTGAGGGTGAGAAGTTTATTTTCAATTGTAGCTTGCAGCCTCTAAACCACATAAACCCATAAAGTGTTTCAGCTTCTTCCAGTAAGTTGTTTCTGTCTCTGACAAGTGTAATTTGAAAATAAAAAGCCCACTCTGGATTCTCTTTTTCATTCCTACCTCTTCATACTTCTACCAAAACGTGGCCTATTAGCTTAGTTTAGTCTCTCTTCAGTACCATTTCTCTTTGCTTGCACAATACAGTGTGAAGGTTACAAGCAATGAAGCAGATTAATTGCTTCTTGAAATACAACAGGGAAAACAGAGCCCTTTTCTTCACAGCAGGAAAAAATTAAAGGGAATATACTGAAGCAAAGGAATTACTTCCCTGTCAGTTTCTGACAAGTGTAGTTGCAAAATAAATATCTGATTCCTTTCTTGAAATCTGAAGCATAACATTTTATTAATTTGGAGTTCAAAACAAGTGAAGACCAGGCATTATGAATCAACTGTGGTAGCATGGAAATTAAACAGAAGACTATTTTTTTTCCTGGTGTGATTTAGAGCACCATAGATGATACTTGTGAATTTTTATGCGTTAGGCAGTTGTGGTGCTAATCTGGCTGTTTCTCTATGTCACACTGCATACAGTTTGGTACAGGATGAGATCTTTCTAGAAATGTGTGAAATCCAGCAATTCTGAAAGAATGACCGAATTTAATTTTTAAGACAAGTAAAATGCAGAATGGCTAACCTCTTAATCTGAGAGTTTTATAGACTACTGAAGATCAAAAATGCTCTGAGCCAACAAAAGAAACCAAGGACTGAAGTTAAGCATGGTGCCTCTTTTACTCTTGAGATGTTTTGGATCAAAGAAAACCCAACTTCTATTTGTTCTTCTGGTGTGTAAAGTGTTTTCCTATTGACCATGTATTTTGTGTCTTGTTTTTAAGATGAAGCCTGGCTGTCACTTTCTGTGAATGAAGTGAAACTGTCACCAGAGCTGAACTTTTAAATAAAGGGAGCTTTGGAAGGAGTGGGCTCTTCAAAGCCCCAGAGCTACCAAAGTCAATAAATATTTCTTTCCATTTGAAACAATAATACCAGTACCAATAGCAGAAAAACATTTACTGTTTCCAGTTTCCCAGCATTATTTAAAGGAAAATACTATAATGAAATCAGAAAAATATTTCTTGTTTTCTGTTTACATCTTAACAAAGCGTAAATACCCTTACTTACTATATACCCCAAGAAATATAAAATGTTCAGGCTGCGACTACTCACAAACAACACCTGCATTGTTTGCAAATACACCTTTTTATTTTTTATTTTTTAAACAAAAGCCTCATAGCTTCATAGGATTTGTGGAAGGCATTTTTACTTGTGGCCCCACAACGGTAAGTCATGCTGTGAGATCATGTCTATGTCGTACATAATGTTGAAGATCAGGGCTACACTGGACTTAGTGTTCCAGATTTATTTTTCTGTCTGCCGTTGTTCCACATATTGTACATTCCATGAGAACCCAAAAGCATGCCAAATGATTAAATGCGACATGATAAATTTGACATATGATAAATATTTCACAATATACTGCAAAACACCTGCTTCTTGGTCTTTTCGTAGTTTTGGAACCACGAAACAGCCTGGCTTTGCTTAATCTGAACTAATTTTCTAGGTAATATCTCTGATTTCTCAAGGCTTTGATGTCTTTATTAGTTTCATAATAATATTTCTGCATGTCACTATCTGTCTCTCTTTAGCTTCCACTAAATTGCCTTTCCATCTGCTTATCTCAATTTATTACAGTCAGAATCATTCCACTGCCCTTCCAGAAAGGGGATAGCTAGAACAGAATGTCTTGTTTACTGTTCTTTATTCTCTTCACAATTTAAAACAGAAGCTGTAACAAGGATCAGAATCTGGCAGATATTTCTAATTACTGGCCTTTCACTTTTCTTAAACCATTGTCTCCCATTTAGTTTCTCTTGTGCTTCAGAGGTCTTAAAGGAAGGTGTATTTTTCCTGATATGCTCTATTCAGCTAATATCTTTGGATGGGCTATACAGGATATACAAAGATGCTCACATGGCTTTAGAATAGCAAGCAAATGCTGTGGAAAGAGAACAGATCATCAGTGAACTTTTAAAAGAAAGGGAGAGAAGCTCTAATTTTATGGGTGGCATTGAAATGGTGCCATTGGTGTTGTAATATGTGAGGCCATGTAAGTAAGATGTTAGACACTAGAACTGGGGACAAGACAGTATCTGAAATGAGTTACAAAAAGGGTTCAAATGAAAGCACTATTTTATGAAATTGAGTGGATTTGGAGACATATAAGGAACAAGACCTGTATGTATCTGTTTGACTGAGAGGAGGGAGGTCATAGTTAAAGGAAGCTCCCAAGTTACAGATGGATAGGGTGAAGGATAATGGTAGTGGTTTTAGAAGTGACAACTGAAAGGGGCTGTGGGGAAGATCTGCAAAAGAGCAAATTACCATTGTCATATTTCATTTCCATGTTACTATAAAATACAGGATTATGAGATAGGTATCTCCTGGATTATCACATCTAGTCTACTGCTGCTTCAGGTTACACCATTTTAGCTGAATTTTTGTAACATGCTGTGTTTTGCCTTAAAGCTGGATATGCTTTTTGGTGCTTCCTTATAGGAAGCTGTACTCATCAGTCTGATTGTTGAAAGCCTTACAATTTCCAGCCTAAATGTGTACAGGTTCAGTATGCACCCATTTTTTAAAATACTGCGCTCTCTGCAATTCAACCATTTTCTGTATTTCTAGCTCATTCATTCCTGTTGGACAAACCAAGCTCTTTAATCTGCTTTCAGAAGGTAGGCTCCTCATTCTTTTAATCACTCTACAGTCGTTTTGCGTGTATTTCTATTTGAGTCCACTTTTCATGGAGTCTTAATGAGTTTCACACGGTATCCCCACACAGAATGGGTAGGTGCCAAATTCATGAGGAACTGTAGCTTGTATAACTGCTGGGAGAGAAGTGTAGTTTTCCTCATATTACTTAATTTATGAGATAATCATGCTAATAGATGGTATTTATTATGTTAAGGTTGTTAGTGCTGTGCTTAACTTCACAAATGTAATGAATCACTGAGTTTGTGGAAAAGCTGTGAAAGAGGCAGACTGTATCTCTGATACAGCTTAATTTATCTTAACAAGAGTTAAGGACTAGCCAAAGAATTAGTTCTTCACAACACCTCTTTGTATTTTTTCTGTGTGTTAGTGGACTGTTCCTATAGGTAGGTTCTGTATGACAGTTCTCACTAGTGTACTAAGATACATGCACAAATGAAGCATGATCATAAAGTTTTTTTCTTCTTCAACTGTACGCTTTTATCTTGGCTTTCTCAGATAGACATTACATCTGAAAATATTTGGAAGATGTATGCACAACACATTTAGATAAATTAGAGGGAACTAGGAGTCCAATAGGAGATGCTGTTAAATTGCCAAACTGCTTAGCCATCTGCACATTGCTGTTCTGGGGGAACACTGGTTCAGCAATCAGCAGAACTGTGATCACTCACAATCACAGGAGAACGGCCACAATTTCCCTTTTCCTGGCTGAATAGAATAACTGCCCTTGGTTTGACTAAGGGTGGGTCCTGTGTGGGGTGGCATTGCAGAGAGGCTGCTGTCTGGTATCAGTGACTGCTATAGGCTGCATTGTGTTATCAATCCTGCTACAGGCTCCCGCAGCACAGAAAGTAGCTGGAGTTGTGTGGCTTTGTTGGTTGCAGAAGTCTTTACATCTGCTGTGGGTAACGGGAGTACCCCACACTGGAGAAGCTAGTTTTTCCCCCTCTGGCCAGTGTTCCACCTTGCCTTCATTCCTGAAGTCACTGTACACCCAAACTTTCCTCACACTGCAGTCAGATGACAGTGTGTCATTATGTTGAGGAATTTACAACTGCTGCACCCTCAACAGGTTAATCAGAGAGAGGACACAGCGGGTCTCACCACTGCAGAGGAATAGGCACATCTTCCTCTAGTACATTCCTACTAAATATTTTTCAGTAGACCAAGATCTGTCTTGGGAACTTTCTTCTGGAAGGTTTCTGAGAGAACTTTTCTTCACATACATTTGTAAGCAAGATGGCAGTCTGGAAAAACCAGCATTCAGAGAGTTAAGATCAGTTGCCATGCAGTTTATACCCCAGAGACTTTAAATCCTACTCAGTAGTTGTCTGCAATCTTGGGGTTTGTAAGAATCTTGGGGTTTTTATCAGTTAACATCAGTATTTTTATTGGAAGGAATATTAATTGTCAAGTAGGCTGTAAAAGAATAAAATGCATAACATTAGAAATATCAAAAATAATGCAAAGAGAGCTGAATTAATAAGCTGAAATAATAAGGTTGAGTATTATTACAAGCAATAATTTGTTCTATACCCTCTATTTTAGTGTTTTGTAGTTGGCACTATGTATTTCTTTGTAGTTAAGAGATGGCCAGTGATATTATAGAACCTTTAGAAAGAGCAGAAACAAAATGGATTTTATAAAATATTACTAAAGGACTCGGACTGTATCACAGATTGCAAAAATCTTGCCTGCCTGTGCTGCAGTTTGACATGTTTAGATTAAATGTTTTGTATCATGTTTCCAATCAAGTCGGTGAACTACATTTGCTAGCCTTTTCAGTCCTGTGAATCATCTGCTGTAAAGATAATCCAGTTAAGAACCACCACACCAATCACTGCACCCACATACAACAGGCTAGACTGGTTCTGTGTAAACACAGCCATCATATCCTAGACCCTGGAAATCCCAAGGCTTGGCAGATGTGATGGATACAGTGCTATATGCAGTGCAGAGAGTTCCTGGTATTATCCCCTTGTAGTACTCTAGCCCAAGTAGTGTTCTCATCCCTCCTGCCAGTTACAGTCATTGACAATGGTAACATAAGAAAAATCTCACTAATTAGTTCTTGGCTCTGGGACTGGTATCAGCATCGGAATTTTGGAGTTTTGACCATGTGTCAGTCCATACAGCAGCAGGCCTGCTGTGGCAGATGGGGTACGCCTGTCCCAAAAGAGGTAAAGGATTCTAGCCCAAGAGGTAGCAGGACTTCTGGAGTACATCCTGGGCAAAGTGATCACGAAATGATTGAATTTTCAATCCTTGGAGGAGTCAGGAAGAAGGTCAGCAAAACCTCCACCTTAGACTTCCGGAGGGCTGACTTCAGCCTGTTTAGAGCACTGGTTGGCAGAATTCCTTGGGAAACATTACTGAAGGTCAAAGGGTCCAGGGAGGACGGACACTCTTCAAGAATGAAATCCTTAAGGCGCAGGAGCAGGCGGTCCCCATGTGCTGACAATCAGATTGGTGGGGAAGAAACCAGCCTGGCTGAACAGGGAGATACTGCTGGAACTTGGGAGAAAAGAGAGAATTTATCATCTGTGGAAGAAGGGACCATCACCCCATGGAAAGTACAAGGATGTTGTTAGGTTATGTAGAGAGAAAGAAAGGCAAAGGCACAGATGGAACTAAATCTGGCCTCTGCCACAAAAGATAATAAAAAGTACATTTTCAGATATATTAGTAATAAAAGGAGGGCCAAGGAGAATCTCCATCTTCTACTGGATACGGGGGAAAACCTAGTGACAGGATGAGGAAAAGGCTGAGGTACTTAATGCTGCCTTTGCCTCAGTCTAATAGTCATGCCAGCCATCCTCAGGGTACTCAGTTCACCAAGTTGGATGACAGATGGGGAGCTGATTGAAGTCCCCATAATTCAGAAAGAACTGGTTAATGACCTCCTGTCCTGTTCCGCTTAGACGTACACAAGTCTATCGGGTTGTATGGGTTACACCCTGGAGCTGAAGGAGCTGGCAGAGGAGCTTGAACATGAACAAAGTAGTGAGAGCAATAATGTAATTTCAGAAGATTGTTGGAATGAGGAACTCTTTCCTCAGTTGCTGCCACTAGATAAATAATATCCTTACAAAACCAAACCAAACCAAACCAACCAAAAAAAAGCCCCAACAAAAAAATCCCCCCCAAACCCAAATATAAGTATGTAATTAGTGTAAGGAAACTCTGCTAAAATCTTGGGAGCACTTGCGAAGTTTTTGTAGTGAAATCTAAAGAAGTGGAAAAGAAAACTCTGAAGAATGAAAATGAGGGTGAATTCTTCTGCCTGCTAGTAATCCTGTTCAGTGATCAAACTTTCCAGCTGCTCAAGCGTGACAGTCACCACCTGGAATGCAAGGCATGTGGTTAGTAGTCGTATCTGCTCAAAGTGGCATTACGCATCTTTTAATACAGTCTAGTTTTGGTGCAGTTTAATGCCTGCACTATGAAGTGAATAGTCTGGAGGCACAGAGATAATCTGTATGCTTAGATTCAGCTATTTACAATGGTGTTTTCAGGATCAAAGCTGTAGCAACTTACTTCAGTACGTGTAACCATTATATGAACAGAGTTTTATCTTGCTTGAATTTACCTTGAAGCCCCGACTAATTGTTTTGAACACATCCAGTTCAGTCACTAGATTAGAAACAGACATCATTGTGTCTTATCAGTCACTAATCAACAGTGTTTATATAATACTGCAAATATCTTCAAGGCTATTGAGATTCAAGATTGTTGCAAGGAATTTAAACTGTCCAAGTTCACTGGCACAGATGACACTTAAATCGGGAATTGTTACAGTTTCTTAGAGACCCTACTTACCTGAAAGGTTAACTCGTTATTTTCAATCTCTTTATTAACAGGAAAGACTTGGTAGGAGTTTATAATCTGCCTCTATTTTCTTTCAGCCTGTTTTTACAGGTGGAGATAGAACACAGAAAAAATGGTTCATTATCTTTTCGTGCTCTCAAAGGCAAGTTCTGTGGAGGTAACTAGTAGTTTACATTTCTGCATCAAGCTAACATCCAGATAGCCTGTGAACTAGCACAAGCCACAGATATGATGGATCTTTAGGAAGGATTTCTATGAGGGTGGTAAGACACTGGCACAGGTTGCCCAGAGTAGTTGTGGATGCTTCATCCCTGGAAGTGATCAAGGCCAGGTTGGACGGGGCTTGGAGCAACCTGGTCTAGTGGAACTAGACGATCTTTAAGGTCCCTTGCACCCTAAGCATTTTGTGATTCTATGATTTTTTCAAAAATCCTTGCTTTCTAGAAGAGAATGAATTTCTTGTTCAGTAGATAATTGGCTATGGGATCCCTGTCTATTCCCTTCAGTGCCAACGGTACAAAACAGATGTCTGTGGATTTGCCTAAATCTTTGAACCTGCTGGTAATGTCTGCCTCCACAACTTTTATCACTTAGAATGAGGAACGTATACAGTAAGCCTGTTTAGTCTGACTTTACACCAGCTGCTTGAGCAACATCTAAATGTCTTGTATAGCATCAAAAGTAAAACTGGGAGAAGATGGGCATTTGGCTTGGGCACTAGCAGCTTTCATGGGACCCTGCAAGTTTACATAAATCACTGAGGCTGGTGAAGGTAGACTGGTACCTTCTTGTGCTGTTGTAACAATTCTGCTGTAAAATACACACCACTGATGTCACTAAAATACCAAAGGGTGTAAATAATTCCATTAGCTTCAGTAAGGCTATTCATATGAGTAAGACCTTTAAGCAGTCAATGTGTAATGAAGAGTTCTGTGTTGCCATGTCTCACTCAATCCAGTTTGAAATTTTATCTCTTGATACTCAGTTTGGCCAGGACTGAAGCATTGCAAAGTTTGTATGTGAAACAACAGTCATAATGCTTTCTAAAGACAGATGAATACATTTCCTATACCGGTGATTTTCATTTGAAAACCATGTTGAAATGGAAAATAAAGGTGTTGCCTGCCAAACTGAAGAAGTTTGTCTTTTGGCCTATGATTTGTTTTCTGTCAGTAGAAATCTTGTTTGTGATTTGTCTCAGAAGCTAGAACTATCTGATGATTCATTTAAACCAAAGGTAAGAGGAAGTATGAAAGTGTCTTGTGCTGTGGCTCAATCACTGATTAAACTTACAGTCTGGTATTTTGTAGATTGATCATGTAGTTTTTGTTGACCAATTTCTTGGACATTATTAAATTAATTTACTGATTATAGTCACAGACTTTTCTAATTATGAAAAGCAGCAATTACTGAAAGCATTGCTGCTGTGTAGACATATTTTCACTAGTACGTATTATCTAAAATATTTATATCGTATCACTTTTAAAAATGTTTGATAGCGTTTATATATTGTATTGCCTTTTTTATTTTTTTTTTAATTTTTTTTATTTTTCTTTAAATGCTGGTTGTGGGTCTTCTGGAGCTAGTGAAACCAGTTACAAAGTCAGTGCTGGACTGGACCAATAATCAGAGGGCATTATCAAGATTTTTCCAAAGATATACTTAAAGACATCCTCCAAGTTCAGAATTATATGAGTTATTATAATATAGAACAGAAAAGGCAACATCTCTAATTTGCTATAGAAGTTTCACTATGGCTGTAAAAATGTGTCTGTTGCTCATCTTTTTTGTTTAAATATTCTCTTCTATTTTTCCTCCGTTTTCCCCATATGTCTACTATAAATTACTGCTGATTTATTCCATGTCTTTTTGTGCCTTTTAGGTATTGGCGTTGGCATGCTGGTTCGGGAATATGGTAAACTGTCTAACCTGGATAAATCCTACTTCTCCTTTCCTGGGGAAGTGCTGATGAGAATGCTCAAACTTATCATTCTGCCATTAATCATCTCAAGTATGATCACAGGTATGTCTGGAATGTATTGTTAGCTGATGGGATTACCATTGTGGTTTACCTTTCTTTCTAAATGAAATAACCTTAAAAAAATACAGTTTGATGGAACTCTATAATGAAAAGTATAGATTGCATACATTTAGATTAAGCTTTTCTATATATAATGAAAATGGATTTGGAAGGATTAGCACAATATCTGGTAATTAAATTATAAGGAGCTGCGAGATAATAACTTAAATGTTTATTGATTCTTATGTCTCTTTCTCCCTGTTTTAAGAAGTGGGTAAGCAGATGCAGATTGCAAGCCCAAAGCTGCAACTGCGTATTCTTAGGTACAGTGTTCAGTATTGTAAGTAGTCTCATGCTGCCATTTCACAAGAAAGAGAGAGCTGATCTCATATTGTACTGTCATAAAAAAGAGGAGATTCTTCACCTGCACTTCTCTGATCTCAACAAATTCCCATGAGGTATCTTGCTTGAGCTTTGGCGTTTGCTGAATCCTTCCTTCAATGCACTGACCCGACAGAAAACTATAAATTAGGAAAAAAGGAAAAATCTGTTTGGTACACTTAGTTCAAAGTGGTTTTGGGGAAGTTCAAGAGAGTGGGGGAGGAGACTGTGTGGCCAGGAAGGCATTATGGAAAGAGAAGCAAAGCTTCCCTCTTCTCGAGGCGGCAAGCAAGTCATTGGCTGAAACCCTGCGACAGCATGCAAGAATTTACTAACATCTCACCCAGTAGGTGAAGATAGACAAAGCCAAGCAAACTTGTCTTTATTATTTAAGCCTCTTACTGAATGAACATGAGTTGTGACTATTTTCTTTTGGCTTCCTACGATGAATCGGGACACAGTTGTCACTGTATTGTCCCCTTTAATCTTCATAAAACCTCTATTTTGTGTTCATGTCAAGGTGTTTGTTGTTTGGTTGGATGGTCATGGAAATACATCAGGCATTTCACTGCAGAAAAGGAGAGCATGCTGTGATCAGAAGATGAAAGGGAAATTCTGATCATGCCATGAAAATGCTTTCAAGAATAGGATATAGAATACAAACTCCCAGGCTGCTCAAAGTTCATGGCCAAAAATATCAGTAATTTCAGCAATGCACCCCAAAATGGGCAGGAAGACCCTCCCTTAGGCTGCCAAGGTCTTTGGGACATATGTGTAATGCAGGGTGACAGGAACCCAGTACTGGAATTAAAATAGAGAACGCCGAGAGCTGCAAGATGGAGACATCCAGACAGGAAAGCAGCAAGAGGCAGAGTGAGAATAGTCAAGGGCTGTGTCCAAAGGAATGAAGGGAGATGGAACAGTTGTTAGTACATAAAGGAGAGAAGAACAGATACAGGTTTAAAAAAGGGCTTGGTGTTTTAGTTAATAGACAGGACAGCGGCATTTTCATAGAGAGGAGGAAATGAGACAGAAAGCAACAGAAAACTGAACTCTACTTTTATCATATTGAACTTGAGTCTGTGACAGGAGATCCAGGAAAAGCTGCCAAGACAAGACTATATATTCTTTCTTGCCAGACTTACTTTTTCCTAACAAGCTTTTATTTCTAGAGTGAAGTTGGGCCTTTGTCTTGAGAAATAATATCATTAGGATAACCATGAAATGAATTATTTATTAAATGTCTGGTTCTTGTAAGGGGAAAGAAGAATTATGCTGTTAAAAATATTATGCTGCTATTTAACATTCCAGTATGAATAAACTGCAGTTGTAACTACTAATATGAGCTTGGATTTTAAAACCTGTGGATTACAGGTGTTAAATTCATATGCAGAGATGAGAACAAGGTGCTCCAATTCTGACCTTGGCATATCCAATATACGTAGAAAAGAAGGGTTATTTTTTTTCTACACTTTTATGTTAGGTTTTTAGGCAAGTAAAAGGAAACAAGATTGATAAAAACAGAACCTGCTTCAACAGAATATATATAGCTTTGCTGCTTTTGAAGACAAAAGCACTAGCTGCCTGAGTGCAAGTAACAGTGAAAAGCGTGGCAAGCAAATGGCCGGGCATTTCCGTGCATGATGGTTTTCACTATTAATCTGCATCCTTCTTTAGAATGTTGATAAGATATTCTTCATCTTGTAAAAGAAATATGGTAACCTTTCAAGTATCAGAAATGCATATTTGAATTGAGTTATTAGGCTTCTGTCTAATCATAAAGCACACTAGTTGTTTTTCCTATTTTGCACAGAGTAATGCAGAATGATTGAGATTGGAAGGGAACTCTTGACACCCCCTAATACAGCCCCCTGCTGCTCAAGCAGGGTCAGCTAAAGCAGGTTGCCCTGGGCCATATCCGGTCAGGTTTTGAATATCTTCAAGCATGGAGACTCTACTATCTCTAAGGGCAGTGTGTTTGACTAGCCTCACAGTACAACAGTGTTTTCCTGTTCAGATGAAATGTCATGGTTTTTAGTTTTTGCCTATTATGTTTTGTCTTGTCTCTGGGCACCACTGAGAAGAATCTGTCTCTGTCTTCTTCATTCCCACCCATCAGGTATTTATATACATGAGTAAGATTCCCCTGAGTCTTCTTTTTCCAAGATGAGCAGTCCCAGCTCTCTCAGCCTTTTGTCATTTGAAAAATGCTCCAATCCCTTCATCATCTTTGTGTTCAAAGTGGAAACAAAAGAGCTGGAATACAATGAGAAAAAAAAAATCAAGGCAGAGTATTAATTGGATTGTTCTTATTTCTTATGTTTATCTTTGAAAGTCAGAACAGTTCAGACTTCAGCAACCTTTTTATTGTCCACTACATTAGTAATTGAAGTTAAAACAAACTAAGTCTATGCCTGTGCTCAGGAATAAACCTGCTAGTTCCATTAGATGTAAAATGTCCACAGATTTACAGTACTGTGAAGGAGAACAGACAAGAAAATGGTGGGAGAAAAAAACTATTTTGTTTCCTATAATGCAGGGCTTCCAAATAGAATTTTCTTTGGTATCACCACTCCAGGGGTAGCAGCTGCCTCAGCAGTTTCCACTTCTTCAAGTACGAGAAGCACAGCTATTGAGAGATGCTCTGTGACTGAGGCATCCTTAACAGGCCCTGTGCATCACCAGCAGGAAAATTAATTTCCTGTCCTTTGGAAAGCCCTAATCTAGCTTGACACACTCAGAGACTGTATGTTCAGATGTTGGGACACCTCCATGTTCTTTTTCTGTTTCTGAAGCCAAAAGAGCCTCCAAGAAAGCAGGTACATTCCATAATATTTAGTAAACTGGTTAACTAAGCTCAGGCAGGAAACTCACCTTGTCCCTCTGTATCACGTATGTTGTGCAAAGGACAGAGAATGTTACGCTACTGTTAATGAGTTTTAGCTTCAGTTGTACTGAGGGAGGCTGGAGGTGCTGTCCCTGCTGTCCAAGGGCAGTCATTGAGGCAGGGAGGACTGCTGAGTCATGGGCTATTAATGGGCAAGGCTTTGTGCTCATCCTTTTCAGATTACTTCTATCAATTACAGTCATCTACTCCTTTTCCATCAGTATCAGTTGACCTTATGCAACTGAGACATCCCCTACATTATTTAAGGTTTTAAATTATAGTAAAAAAACCTTTGAAGTGCATTTCTGGTTCATGGAGCATGATTTCCACCAGCTATCAAGGGCAAAGAGCCCCCACACTACAGCCATTCTTGCGCATTGGCAGTCATTGCTTCCTGTCCCAGCTCTATCACTGGGTCTGCTTGTGGCACTGCTGTGGGGGGGTTCTGAAGCAGGTTAGTGCCTTCTGCTCTTCTGTTCTGGAGCTCAGGACATAAACAACAATTCTGTTATATAAAATGGATCACATTCGCTTTTTTACTCCATTTCTCGGAGTGTGGGTATCATGATTGATTAAAAAATTTAGTGTCACATTAATGTTTTCATTTTAGGAGCCTAGAAGCTGAAGTTTGTCCACCTATAGGTTTTAACATCAGTAATTTTGAGGTAATTCAATACTTTCAGTACTCTGGGTTTTCTGTATTTGTTCCATTCATATTTCACCTGCAACAGTGTAGAGGCTGTATTTCTGCTACATCTGTGAACTGAATCTGATTTTGGTTATGAATCTTGCGAGCCTGTTCATCTTGGCAGATTGATGTGTCATCTTTCCTCATTATAAATTCTTATTATATTCCACCAAGGAACATCATATCTCATGAAAAGGTGTTAACTTGAGATTACATAACCTCTAAAAGCTTTCTAGAGGAAAATTAAAATTTTCCTTCAAGTGATACTGTTTGCAAATAAGAGGAATTCAAGGCAGTGCTAATACCTTATTTCTTATCCATTAGTAGCCTTCCTGGCAATACCAGCCAAAAGAGGCAAGTAAAAACTCACCATATACAGTGTATAATAGTTACTGCAATGTGAGAAACAGCTGGATTAGTTTTCCTTTTTTCTTCAGCATTTAAGATGGAACGTCCATGTTTCTTACCCAAGACTATGTGCCTCTTCTGCTTGTTGAAGGTCTGGTACCATCCTCATCCCTGTTGTGCTTTGATGCTTTTGAATACTCTGTCACACAAAATTATTAGCATTAGTTGTATTATGTATCTCCCATTCTTTATTCTTTCCCAACAATAAAAAAAAAAAAAAAAAAAGTGCATATGCAGTACAGAATTTCATTTTGGTAGGATTTTGAGGTCTTGGGACCAGAAAGAGAAGATGTGAGAGACTTGATTTCACTGATTGTTTACTTTTTTATTCTCTTACAAGTGTATGTGTGGCAAATTAGAGAAAATTGGGGGAGAAAACCACTGATAGAAATAACTTGTTGGAGGCTGTAACATAGAGAACATTGTTGGAGACTGTAACATAGAGAACAAAGAGGCTGAATTGCAGAAGACTAGGCAACTGATTTCCAACTGTGGCTTCAAATATTAAAACCTTAACTCTGTTTTGCTAAAATAATATGAACAGAGAGATAGATAGATCAACAAGTTTTAATACTGGTTGGTGCCTTTTGTGTGCCCTTGTATCTTTGTGTATTGCAGCAGCCAGATTGCATTCCATGCTGCAGTGGCTGTAGCTGAATTAGAACATCCCTTGTAGGAAAATTTAAGGAACTAATCTGAAACACTGCAGTTTTGAAATGGCCAGGGATGGAGAAGAATCCATCATGCTTGTTTAAATTCTGTACAGTAGACTACTTTTACAGTTTATCTGCTTAAACCTGTTTAAACAATTAAAACTTGGAGATAGGCTGAGGGAGTCAAAGAGCAAATAAAATGGTTATAAAACTTTGGTGGTAATCCACAGTAGATATGCAAGTTTAATTACACTGGTTTTTGTGATCTTACCTTTACTTACAACACTGCAGACTCTCCATTTTGAGTAGCATATGTGTCATCATAGATTGAGAAATAAGTTTTCTTATGAACTGAAATTAGTGTTAGTTATATGCTCTGTTTAATACATCTTCCATTAACTTTTTCAGTTACAACCAAAGAAATTACAAAGCCATGGTATTATTTCAACAGAAACGTAATTTTCAGTTGGCTTGACAAGAAGTCCAGTAGCTATAAGTTACAGTATATTATCAATGGCTCACTAATGACAGTAGGATATATCTGGAGGGAAATCTATTTTTATATATTGTGTTTTCCTATGTTTAACAAGCTAACATGAAAAAAAAAAGGAGAGTAGCAACATAAAGCACTCAGTGCTTTATGGCACTGGTAGTGAATGCTACTTCATACTCTAAATGGAAGTATAATCATGTATAAAGCTTTATTTCAGAGTACAGCAGTTTAAAAAAACCCCAAAACCCAAACCTACACCTGCTGTCCTCAGAGCATACTTGTACTTCACTTACTCAGTGATGTCTGCGTGACTGATTTGCGTGTTTTTATAGCTACTAGCAAAGCAGCGCCGACATCACAGTGGAAGCACAAGCTGGATTTTGCCACAGCTTTCTCACTACCAGGATTATTATCTAGTTTAAAAAAGCAGGGACAGAGTTTTCCCTTAGTTATGCCTCTGTAACTCCAGCAAGCATAACAGTTTGCAAAGGGATTTAATTTGGAGCTAGAAGAATGGCTGTCACAGGAACTGTGTGTCATACTAACTGTAGAATCTTTATAACTGAGTACCCCAGAAAAATAACCTTGCATGATTACTAAGCTCTTGGCTGAGTCAACAAGACTGTCAGGCAAAAAAAATTTTAAGGCAAGCTTTGTGAAGCACTTCATCCCTTGAAAAGATTATTATCTTGCCTCCACTGTCTGTGCAACTGCTCTTTTGTATTGACAGACAGTCAATACAAGTTTTAGAATAAAATTCCATGATTTCTAGTTTTACAAACTTTTCATTAAAAGATATGGAAATCTGGCAATACCAGTTTCCTCTCTTTTAAAAGCGTGATGTAGTCTTCTAAGTTAATATATCAGGTGCAAAAGTTTCAACATTGACAGCCTTGAAACCAGCTCTTCTATTGTCTGCAGAACACATTATTTATTACTATCCATTCTCAAGAGTTCCTACTGCCATAATTTCCATAGCTGAGTCCATGACAATGCAAAAGTCCTCCTTTCTACCCTTTTTTTCCCCAGTTCCCAAGGTGAGAAATAAACATGATAGCCTGGACTCTGTGTCTGTTCTGTTGTTTGTGCCTCAAACAATATCCTTAGTGCTAACAGCCTCCTCTAATAGCTGTTTTTTTCTGTGGCATTATTTTTTTCTGTGCACTGCTCTGTATTCTCTTGCCATAGTAGTAGTTCTTCTATTATTCTTATTTGGTGTACAAATGAGATAGATAGTCTTTGCATCATGATTTCTGCATTTGTATGTAGTTCTTCTGTACTCAGTCTGATGATATGCTACCACATGGAAGATCCCAAAATTATCAAATAGATGATGAAACAGAATAACCTTCGTTCTCCCCTCCCAGTACTCTTTGTATTTTGAATAACAATTAACAGAAGTAGTAAGGTATTATATAAATGCCATAGACAAAGTTGTTACTGCTGTTAATACACCTTCTGAAAGAGACATAACACATGGTTAAAGTATGCTTCCTAAAATCCTTTTTAAGCTCAGAGATGTGTAAGTTACATTTGTGTCAGAAAGATATTTTGATTTGTCTTCCTTAGTTTTTGGAACTTTCCCCCCACCCAAAAAAATTTGCCTCTCTGATGTTAAATATCCTCATTGTATTTTTGCTTTTCTGTACAAAGGAATCTGGTCAGTCTTTGATGACCTGACTCAATAATCATAAAAAGATAAGCCCATCACAAATGTATAGTAAAGAGATAGCAGTGAATTATTAACTTGTATGGTTACAGACAGTAAAATTTTACAGTCACAATGCTAATTTTACCCTGGTTACTGATTTGTATGTGTACAGTTATAACTGTAAATCTTCTAAACAATTAAAAAAATACTTAATGAGCAGTTTGATATAATACTGTTGACAGAAGTTAAGGTGACCTCAGTGTAACACCCACCGTAACACTTCCCCACCTTTATTAATAAAACCTGCCCTGAGTTCCTGACAATGACAGATACAGGCAGAGGATTGGAAATATCCCAGACTTCAGAAAAGCTTTAGTGAAAAAACCCCAAGCAATTAAACCTGTTAATGAAGGTGAGCCCATCAGGAATAAGCCTTACTTGTCTGCATTTGCCTTTGGGAAAGCCAGCATAACAGTCCTGAGCAGCTCCCTTGCTATGGCTTTTAGTTCTAAAGTCAAAATATTACAGATCTGAAGAAAATGAAGCTATTTATGTGAATTTGGAAATAAATTGTAACATATATTCATAAGCCAAAGAAGTCTGATTTGTCACATCAGAAAAGGTCATTTATATTTTTCCTAGAAAATTCCAGGGGAACTTGATTTTTGTGAAAAGCAGAAGCAAATATATTGGTCCACTACAGACATTTTTCAGAAGCGCAACTGGCAATTAGGTATTTAGGAGTATCTTGAATAAAGAAAAAATTCCTTATTTCCATAGAAATAAGAGACAATAAATAATTGTCTTTACAAAAATAGCAGGCTTCATCTAAGACTATATTTTAGTGCTTTGTTTTTGTGGTTTTTTTTTTGCAGGTGTTGCTGCTTTGGATTCCAGTGTTTCTGGGAAGATTGGTTTGCGAGCACTCATATATTATTTCTGCACTACAATCATTGCTGTAATACTAGGTATTCTGTGACACTGTAACTTCTTAAATCCTCTTTAAAATCTTCACTATTGCCTAACTGCAACTATGCAGTACTATGACATTACTAATTACCCAAGACAGGATGAGGAGAAGACACAGGAATCATACCAAACATCTTGTCATGCTTGTAGCCAGGTACAGGGAGAAGTTAGTGCCACTGTTCACACTTGGGCTGTATTTATATCTAGTATGAAGGCATGGGCAATTTTGCCATACATTTCACCTCAAGGAAGATTAGGAGTTGTCTGCTCAGGTAAACAGTGACTGCAGTGGGAAAGCTGAATGAACATTAAAGGCTAGCCTTAAATACGAAGTGATTTCCTCAATATCAAAATGATAGATTGTCTGTGATTCTCAAATTTGAGAAGGTATAATATGTCTCATCTGAAAGAACAACAGAAAATACTGCTTCCCTTGTCATCTCATTTCCTTCCTAAAAGGTTTTTGTCACCTCTTTCACTGTCAGACTGCACTCATACTTCTCTGAAGTTTACATCTCCTCTTGCAGGAAGTTCATTCTCTACAAGCAACATTGAAATCTTCCATGTTTGCTTAAGCAAACATTTCAGCCTGCCTTCCTAAATAAGAAATAAAATTAGACCCTCCTCTGTCACCTGTCATGTAGTTTGTGCCTTACCTTAATATTTTGTGGAGCCTGAGTGGATACCATGCCTGGATGTCACCCACTAAAAAAAAACATGTATTTATTTGAAGGACAAAATGTACATTGTATGTGGCCTACTTGTAAGGCAAAGCAATATTTAACGATAGAAAAAGAATCATATGTAAGCACAAGGCCAGATTAATTTCTAGAGTTTGCATTATTGAGCATTATAGATTACTGTGGTTGTACCATTTAGGCTGTCTCATCTGTCTGGGAATTTTCTGTGAATATGTAGTGAGGAAAATTAATAAAGACTAACATTAATATGTATCTAACTTTGAAATTGGCCCTACCCTAAGAAACCTCTAAGAAAGAGGTTAAACCACATAATCTCCAGAGGTCCCTGCTGTTCTAAGTTATTCTGTGGTACTCTGATATTACTTGTTTCACTGTGCAGAGTTACACAAATTCAGTTCTGCTTTTATTCACAGCTGTCAGTAGAAAGCCTTGTTCCTGGCTGGTAGAAGGGTCCTCCAAATGCCTCTTTCTCCTACACTGAGATTTAACAGTTCCATTTGCTTTAGGTTTGTTTGGCTTTGGGAGAGAAAAAGTAAAATACATTTGGAAAGGCCTAGTATTTCATTTAATAGTAAAAGTGCCTAAAATGAGGTCACTAAAGTAAATGGAAAAATTGTCATTGATTTCAGTATTCACAAGGTTAAACCTAGTGTTTCTTGCCTGTAATTTTTTGTTTCAGTCTGTTTCTGGAGCCAGTTCTTTTACATAATTTTATTGCTAATGAGCTTTACTAAAACATCTGTTGTACATTGGGATCACAGGATAACACACTTGTATTCATATCTGAAAGCTATTAACACGAAGAACTCCTTAAGGGAGAAGGTAGATGGCAGTTTGAAATTTCACTGTGCAGAAGTTGCAGACTGCTTCAGCTGAAGCCTAGCTGAAGTAATTTACTCTCTTAGTAAGCAGTAGTGATTTAGCAAAATCATACAAAAACAAAGCTACAGTACCCATGTCCAGTCTCAAGGCTACAAGTAGCTCCTGTGTTGGAACTCACTGTAGATTACAGTTTTCTGAACATCCCTGCATCCAACGAAAGCATTTAGTGCGTTTAGCTCATGAAGAATTTAGCTACACAGATACACTGAGGCATGGTTCACCACAGCTTCTGCTTGCACTGTGAGTTTTTCTTCTGGTTCTCCTTCTGCAGGGATTGTCTTAGTTGTGGTCATTAAACCTGGAATGCCTCAAAAAGCAAACGAGATTGACAGAGTGGGCAGTACCCCAGAAGTCAGTACTGTCGATGCCATGCTGGATCTGATCAGGTGAGGTTTTCTTTTTTTAGTTTCCATACTCTTGTTGCAGAAGTTCCAACAATACAGATAAAGTTGTGATGTGTAATAAAAATGCTTTCTGATGTTGTTTGGATGAATACAGAATAACTTGCATTTCAACAGGCTAGACATTTTGGACCATATTCAGATCAGTTTGTTGTCAAAAATTGTCTTTACAGCATAGACTTTGGTTAAACCAATGACAACAAAAATATCCTCCTTAGCAGAAATTATATGCAAGATTTACCTGTTATGAAGAAAATATCTAGAAAGGATTGAATAGTTGGTGGGTTACTGACTGGCAGCCTCTGTGTCATCCAGCATAGACAACCACCTGTAATTACAGTACTCTGTTTCTGCTCCTCAAAGCAAGATGGAGAGTAACAGATGCAGTATGCAAGGGTTTCTTGGGGTTGTACTTTCAACAGATTTGCTGCATCACCAGTGTCTGTGGCAATCTTATGATGAGTCTTTTCCCATTTGCATCCTGGAACATTGTAGATACTTGAAGCTGTTAGAAGAAGGAAACCCCTGTAAAAGTCTGCAGAAGACTTGAGCAGGTTTTCAGAACTAACATGTTTTGAATTTAGAAATTAAAAAAAAAATAGCAAAAAAGGCTTGCATTTCCTAAGTAGTGGCTAAGTAGTTCCCTCAAAAATGTTTTTGTGAATGATTTTTTTACTCCAGCTACAATTGGTCACTAGTCTGTGTCACTATTACTGCCCACACTTTTCTTTTTGTAGAATTTTTACTTAATTTATCTGTCCCCTCCTGCCTCTGCATTACCAGAATGTCACCTCCTTGGATAGCTCACCTTATGCCTCATGGTCACTTGTCCAGGAATCAATGAGGGGAACTGTGCAATCAGCTGCATTATAAACCTAATGGGTCCATTACCAGTAACTTCCACATGAACATTTCCACATGAACATTTCCACACATATTCACAGGGCTCATGTAGTTCCATGCACAAAATTCTTGTATTTTAAAGCGATGTGAATTGTAATTCAGAGTAGTTTGAGGTTTTGCTACAGTTTGTAGTTCAACTTCTTGTAAGCAAATTGAAGTCTGTAAATTAGGAGTTTGAAATCTGAAATTCTCTTTCAAAGGACTTAATAGTTACTTTTCCTATTTATTTAGATAGTCTTGTAATATAAAGGAAAATCACAGGCCTGTACAAAGTAACCTTGCCTTGATGAGTATTTGCTTTAAAAACTTGAAAAATAAAGGCAGGAGTTTGTGAAAAATCTGGAAGGAAGATAAAGACTTCTGTTTCAATATATAAACTACCTTTTTCCACATTGGACTTTCAGTCCAATGGATTATTGGACTGAAATTATATACATACTGGATTATTCAGTAAATATCTAATTAATGCTTTTTTCTGCAATCATTTGAATCTGAAATTGGCAGTTGGAAAGGAGACACACAACTGGGTTGCACTGCTTCTGATCTGATTTCCTGATTTTTCAGTGTGCAAAAAATGATTCTTAACCCTGGAATAATACATGGGACTCCTCCATCAGCCAAGATTAACGTCTGAATTCAAAACTGCAATAGAGCTTACCAAATACTGATTATTCCAGCACATCATTTATAAAAGTTCCTATTTATTTTCTGCCTCTGTTTGACAAATCCCATAAAAATGGTGTGTCCTGTATTCCTCATGGAAATTATGGAGATGATGCAGCAGGGGGAAAAAAACCAAACAGTAAGTTTAGTAGTTCACCAACATAAATGTTTAACATTGAAAGATGAGCTCAAAAATTCAATAGTAGGAAAACAGTCAACAAATCACTGGGAGCCCTGAACTTCCTGGACTTCCTATCTCATGGTGCTAAATACACTGCATTCTGGATAAAGGAATACAATCTGATCTGTTTTTCAAACAGCAGATTTTATCATTTTGTTTATAGAAGCAATGTATTCTTAGCATACTATAATGTTGAAATGCCTCTACTTTTTTAACAGGAATATGTTCCCAGAAAACCTTGTCCAGGCCTGTTTTCAGCAGGTAAGTTTGAACATTCCTTTTTGCTGTTGTAGTTTTCATTGTTAACTACAAGTTATTCTTTTATGTCCCCCAGAACTATATAGGTGACAATTATTTCTGAGAAGTCCAGGAGTATCTTAATCTCCCATAAAAAGACCCTTTATTAAGGCATCTTTGTTTCATTTCCATTATGACAAACACTTCGTTACCAACTATTAAGTCCTTGATCATCCATTGCAAATAGACAGTGCTTAGGAGCTGAGTGCAAAAACCAAGCAGTGTATTAGACAAGATTTTTTCTTTTGGGACAGGCAGAGTTAGAAGAACCATGTCATGAGGGTCTATTTCCATGATCTTAAAAACCCTCAGTGTCTGAGGAAGTCTGAATAACAGTCCTCACCCCATTGTGTCTCACATCTAATATCCATTTCCAGACCTGATGATCCATCTTAAAGAAGAGGCAGCCAATTGGTAGTTTATTTGAGGCATCTTTCAGGAAAAGTGCGATTTGCAAGATGAAAGAGGAAGCTGCTGTCTATATATAGATTATCAGACTTCTGATTCAGTCATCTTCATCTGTAAATATGTGAACTGGTTTTTGTGATGTTCTCTGCTTCCATTTTTGCTTTTCCCAGCAGCTGCCTACCAGTTTAGTTGAGGTTTATAAGTGAGGTAGTTAACCTTTCCCAGGAAATTATGTTAACTGTCTGTCTGTGCACAACAGTGAATGTATTTCCAGTTTATAAACTTTTTCATGTAGTTTTTCTCATGTTAATTACTGTCACTCAGCAGTAAAGGGACAAACAGGTTCTTTTAGGGACCCATGGCAGAATGATGATGACACTAAATTGTAGTTACAATTAAAGCTTTATTTTCTTAACAGGATATTATGATCAGTATAACACAGAATTTATAATCAGATGGCATGGGATTTCTATAAGCACAATCAGTGTAGTACAGTTTTATAATAGCACCACTTAGCTTATGGTTTCTTATCACCTGGACTCTCTGCAGATTAGGTCAAATGTCAATATGTTGGTTGCTGTATCGACATAACAATCACAATCTAGACTCATATGAAAGTGGATGAGTCAGTCACTCAATCTTCAGAGGAAGCAGACAATGGTGGATGTGCCCCTGGCCACTGGCAGGTCCTGGTCTTACCATCCAGCAGCAGCTCTGGTCCAAGTTCCCCCTTAACTGCTTGGTTTTACAGACAGTGCTCTATGTCCTATTGCAATTCCCTGTTCTGTAGCAGGGTCATCATCTGGCCAGATGTCTGTCCCTTCAAGGCCAGTAAGAAGGGGAATAATTAACCTGGTGTCCTGTACTCTTGAGGCTGGTCTGCTTGGTGCACAGGACCTTCAGGGGAAAGAGGACTAAGAGATGACCAGCTCAGCTACAGAGAATGGCTGTTCACCTTAGGTAATGGCGTTAGTTATGCTAACCACATTACTAGGGCTCTGGCTGTATCAGGTCCATCTGCTCTGCAGACCTCTCCTGGTGTGGCTGTCTGCAATTCCCTTGAGACTGTCCCATCGAAGTCCCCTTGCCATTGTCAGGAGCTGTATGTATCTCACCCCCCACAAGACTGCATCAGGTCTATAGGGCACCTTAGAGCCTGGGAAACAGAATTCATATCATATTACCTGTGAATCACTTGTTTAATGTACAGCATCTGAAGTACAGAACCATGATGGTTCACACAAATTGGGAATTAATGTCTTTGTCTGTGTTTGCTACCTTCAAGTTAGACTGGTTCATTTTTCCCTTCTTTTTACTTATTTTACATTCTTCAGTTTCCTCATGTTTCTAGATAAATTCTTCCTTTTTTTTTTTTTTAAATTTTCTAGTATAAAACTAAACGTGAAAAAGTTGAAGCTACATCTGGTGTGGATAAAAACGGCTCTGCATTGACACAACAACCTGTTACAACTGCTACAACAACAGAGGCTTCGAAGGTGAGACCTTTGTTGTATTCCTTCATAATATGTGAAGTAGGGACAAAGAATTAGTTCATGTGGCTAGTGATTGAGAAAAGGAAGGAAATGGTATGTAGATTTTAGCAAGGGCTCAAAACTTAGTAAGTAAATACAAGAGGTGATTATGAGGATCTTAAGGTAGGGTTTAAGAACACCAGAGGACTCCACTGGTAATTAAGCAGTCCAAAGATAATAGATGATGTGAGCAAATAATACATTCATGTACTCCATTAAATGTATATGCTAATGAATTGCCAATTTGCTGAGAAATTAAACACAACAGCCGATGTGGAAAGGCTAGATGTATACCTATCCATGAGATGTTGGAGCATAACTGTAAACACTGCAGAAAGAAAGGAATGAAAAATCATAATACGTCTTTTTTAATGGAAAGCAAAACAGTGGAAAGCATTTGTTAAATAATAGTTAGTTACACTGCCAAAAAAAAAATTTGACAAAAAGGAAGAAGAGGTTTAACAAGCCTCTGTTTAGAAGTGTGGAAAGCTTATGGGTCTTGATTGTTTATAAAGCCTAGACTTACACCAGAGGAGAGAGAGAAAGGAATTCAATAGATTATGAACACAGAACTATGAACCAAATCAATATGCATTTTATTATGCTCCTTCCAACTTCATCTCATAGTAATGAGAGCATGCAAACATGGGCTATATGAAAAGACATGACTTAAATCCTGAGGCAGGATGTAGTGAAGAATTGCACCATTTCCTGAGTGTGTTCGTACTGCACAAACACAGAGGAGTGTGTGAATACCTACCTGTTCAGTAGGATTTTTATGTTACGTGCATCCAATTCTGCTATAAACTATGTAATTTCGCTGATTTCATCGGAACAATAGATTTTAAACTTGAGGCAAGTTGGATACCATTGTCTCAGTTCTTACGCAATGGACTGTTTATCTTAAATCCAGACACAAAACCTCCAGTTCTTCAGAAATAACCACAAGGATTCTACATCAGCTGTGTTTTGTTCTCCAGAGTAGGGGCTAAGTCTTGAGTATATTGAAGGCATGACTGTGGATACCTAGATGTTGCTGGTATATAGGAAGGGCACATAAATTAAGGGATGCTTTATCCCCTGCTAGGGGGTGGTCAGATCCTCACATAACTTTAAAATACAAAGCTTTCAAAGCCAATTTAGTTCTACCTTCATTCCTGAACATGCCCGTTTGGCTCTGCCAGGAAGGGAATAGTGTGACTTTTCGTGTCTTTTCAAGGGAAGATCTAAATGTGGTTTGATTTCAGAGCTCTTTAAATTCAGTATTTTCAGCTAGTAACTTTTTTCTCTTTAATCCATAGAACAAAACCCAAGAATACAAACTTGTGGGCATGTATTCCAACGGCATCAATGTGCTCGGGTTGATTGTGTTTTGTCTTGTTTTTGGAATGGTTATTGGGAAAATGGGAGAGAAAGGACAAGTGCTGGTGGATTTTTTCAATGCACTGAATGAAGCTACAATGAGAATAGTTGAGATAATTATGTGGTAAGTCTAAAGACATACTGGTGTTTTCTAACAACTTCTTTGAATGGATTTTGTCATTGAAGAGGGAGGAGCAGACTCATACTTGGATGTTTGCTTTTGTATAGTGTTTTACAGCAAATATCTTTAAAAGAAAGGCTGGTAAGAAGTTTCCTTTTTACAGAATTTGATCCTTTTTTGGAGACAGGGCTTCCACTTACTATATACTAAAGACACAGTTCTATTGGTACATCAGGAATCTGAGTTTTTCAAACATTTTTGCCACGGGTTTATATCAAACCAGTATAACTGCATTAGTGATTTGAGGACTGTAGAAGCATTACACTCACATGCGTTTTTCAGTCTTGAACACTATTCCCTGATAGCCATTATGTTCACAGGATAGCTGTCCTTGGAGCTAAGTTCCTTTAGAAATATGAATTAATATACAAGCCACAGCACAGAGCAAAATCCAAAATGATATGCAAAATACAACCTATAATCATTTACTTTCTGCTAATGGGTTTTGTGAGACAACATTCTCACAATATTCTCTCATAATATTCTTAGGAAAAAGAATTAAAAAATGTAGCAACTCATTTGATAGTGTTTGGTTGGATTTCCCAGCTATTCACAGAGCTTTTGTCCATGCAGATCACAACTACAGGATCAGGACTATAAACACACACAGTCCTTTCCAGAGCTTGATTCTACAACATCCTAGTGCCTTTTGCCATTTATTACAATACTCTGCTCATACCCACATGTTCCACATGAACAGTTACTTTCCACATCTAGCCCTTCCATGGATTTTTCTTCCATCCCAGCACACTGGGGTGCCTGTAACACAGTAAAACTGTACAGGGTTTAGTTGCACACTTCTTGCTGCCTTTAAAGAAAAGTAAATGAGTTTATTCAACTTGAAGTCCTGTGCTAGGCAGCTGTTTCAGTCCCCATCTGAATTACAGCCCTGTGAAATAGGCTGCTTCGTGCTGCAGCAAATTACCACTAACAAGACCTGAGAGTTAGCAAGACCTGATGCCACAAATACAGGATGCTACCCATAAGCTGACCTGTTCATTGTCTTGCATGTGGCTGAAGCTGTGACTAAAGAATCCCTGTGTTTCTCCAGATGTGGGAGGTGTTGTCTTGAATAAGGTGAAGTTTGATGATGGCAGTATGAAGAATTAATTCTGCTTTCACTGAGTTCAGGCTCAGAAGGAACTAGGAGGCCCTGCTTTGCACAGGGTCAAGGTACTATTTTATTTGTGAGATAGCACACATACATTTTATAAATTTCTATTTTAAAATAGATACATATTATATATTCACAGATTTATAGATTAATTTATACTACTCAAAGCTCTGAAGTGGCGGCTTGTCTCTGTGACAGCTGCTTTGTGGTACCAAAAGCAGTGGAGCTGGTGCTAGCATAAGTCCTGATTTTTACCTTGAATTTTCAGTAGGCAGTAGCCCATGCAGCTGTTGATGTCTGTAAGGCATGGCCTTGTGTAAATTGACTAGGGAGGGGGTAGGGACCCTTCCATCAAGCAACACACTGATGACTGTACTATCCCAGCATACTAAAATCAGTCTTATTCTGTGTAGGTGACACACATATAGCCCTTTTCACTGCAGAGCAGCTGCTGTTAAGCACAGGAGGCCTTTCCATCAGTGTGTGATTGCAGAATACACAGATACTGGTCTCAGCCCTACAAGCTTCGACCTCAAAGTAAGCTTATGGCTATGCATAAACATTTGATGTGGTAGGGCAAAGCCCACACTTCTGTGTATTCTGTGACACTAGCTCATACAGTACTTGTTTGACAATGCATAGGGTTATATTTACTCTGATTTTCTGATCTTTTTCATGACATCTGTTGAAGTCCTGCTGGAAGTGAATAAAGTCAGTTGTACAATAGATATAAAAGAAATCTTTAGGTGCGTAATAGAATAGAAAAGAAATCTTCCGTCTGTTGTAAAAAGTTACACTGCACGAGAAATTATTCCTTGGTGAGCACACAGTATTTCTGAGAATGCATTTTTAATTACTTTATTTTTTGCTTTCTAGGTATATGCCAATTGGTATCATGTTTTTAGTTGCTGGGAAGATAATAGAAGTTCAGGACTGGGAAATCTTTCGTAAACTGGGTCTTTATATGGCTACAGTACTAAGTGGGTATGTCATTTCTTAAAGATGAAATTTTATGTGTGCAGTTTTTAGGGCTTAATTACAACTCGATTATCCACAACACCCAGTTTCTTCTAGGTCAGACAAAAATTCTCATCAGTGAAAATTATGTGAGGATGTTCTCAATGCACGTTTTGCTGAATGCATGTTTTGTTTTAAAGTCACTGCTTTGCATTCTTGGGGGGAAAAAAAAGAAAAGAAGAAGCAAAGGCTTTTCTTGTATTCATTGTTTCATCTTCTTAGTTGGTCCTGTATTTTTGAGAGTAGTAGAGGAGTAATGCTTCTTTTAGATACTAGAAGTTGGAAAAGAGTGAGATTGTGAATTATGGCTATGGGGGGTTACCAGCCTATTGAAAATACACAAATATCTGGATTAAGTTGGGAACTTCCATGGGACCTGGTGGCCCAAGGTGTATCAGCATAGACCCAGCTCCACTGCCCAGTACAAATGCATAGTAGGTACAGTGCACAATAAATGGTGCCAAAGAGGAAACCAGTCCCACCTCAGTGCAGAGCAGGTAGCTAACATGAATTAAAACCCTGGACATTGCAATATTTATTAGGCAGAGCTAGCTGGTGAAGCTGCAGAAGCAGCAGTTCCTGTCTGAATAACTTAGCCAAGCATCAAAGCATTTTTTCTGTTCTTTTTCTAGAACCTTGGCTGTGTAGAACAGTCTGAGGTAGAGGACAGTGCACAATGTGGAGTCTTGCAGATGTGGAGCCTTAGAAGGGGCAACTTAGCTGCTCGAAGTGATATAGGTTGTGATTCTGTGATCATTATTTATCTCTGAAGACTATCCTACAAAGAACCCTTTTGATAGATAAATGGATATTACAGTCCCAATAAGTTAAATGCATTTAAATTTCTATTATTTCCAATTCAGTGAAGCATAACTTCGGGGCAGCCTTGGTTCATTGCCTTAGCATCCACTCGTATAATTCCTTCAGTATTCTAAGGGTTTATTCATGTTTTATCTTGAGGCTAGATCCAAAGTTGCTCAAGAGCTTCCTTCCTCCCACTCTACGCACATACGTGCTGTTCTTCAAACATCATTCAAATGCTTTCTGACAACCAAGCAGAGTGAAGGGTAATGTATTAGTCTTAAAAGCAAACTTCTCTATAGTCAAGAAGGTTCTCATTTTTTTTCTATATTAATCTTTGCCTCATAATCACATTTATTTCAAAGTTGTCGTTTTGTTTTATACATAAGCTGGTATGTTTGGACTAGCTTTTCAAAAACAATTTGAGATAGAATGACTTTCTAAGTAAAAATTACAGCTCCAAAAGTGGCACTGAGTCATGAATTTTTCAAAATGGTACAGAAATGAGTGCAGGTAATGTTTGTCTAATGCATAAAGCAGTTTTTGTGAGTTTTCATTATATATTTGAAAAGAAATGAAATTTTTGAAGAATGTTAAAGTTTATGTTTACCAAGAGATTGTAAAACAAGAGACTAATATTTTCTATATAAATTATAAATGAGACCATGACCACAAGTTAGGTATAACTCATTTATGGAATGACAGTGTATCACCTCTGCAGGTTTTCTGTGTTACTGACTCCAGTTAATTTAGAGAAGGAGTGTGTTGGATGGATTGTTACTGCCCTTTGACTTCAGCTAGAGATCAGATAGCAAGTTTTACAGTTTTAGATCTGATAGCAAGTTTCATGACTGTTCACCTATTAATGGTAACTATGTGTACTATGACAGGATGTTTCTTCCTTAAGACATGTGTGCAGGCACAGTGCCTTCTCCAGAGTACTGTGCAGAGTAAACTACCACCACATGTGATCTCCCATTTAGCTGGTAACTATGGGCTTGACAGGCACAACAATTTTAGTAGGTTCCCAGGTGCCATCAAAAAGATTGTATACTGTAAGGGTGCCTACTTTTACATCCTTGGAGAGGAAAAAGTCTCCGTTCCCCCAAACTCCCTTGCACGTGCCATAGTTTTCCCTAATGGGTACTGTGGTAGATCTCTGCAGCATTTCTGTCTCATATGGGATAGCCTACAGTGGGTGATGCTCAAGGTGTTGTGGAAAAGGGCTAAACAGCAGAACATTATCTGCAAAACTGACCATCAGGCAGAGCGTGTTGTAATCGCATCACAGGGACAAAGATGACAAGGTACAGTCAAGGCTATAGGCTGCAGAGAAGAGGTGCTTCTGTGTTTTCCAGCCCGCAAGAATACCCTTTTTCTGACCTCTCGGCAAACAGGAGAAGAAATCTTTCTTTCTTTTTGTTCTTAAACACTGTTCCCACCATCCACTAAAAGATGTTCCCACCATCTTTTTGGTTTTCATCCTTATTTGCTTCACCTTGTCTGTTTGCAGTGTGTTCTGTTCATCAGTGTCTTCTGTAGCTGTCTTTCATCCTGAGAATTACGGGTTATCTTAAACATATTTGTGTATTCCTTATCAAGAAAAATGTGTGAGAGCTTGAGGGCTGGTCTGTCTTATCCTCCTCTTCCTTTCCTTTAGCTTCCCTCTCCAGCTCATCTTCTACCCTACCTTCTTCCAACTTTTATTATTCATGACGTTTCACATTCTCAGCCCTACCAGCTCTCACCAAACACTGTCTGCAACACATCTCAGTCTTTATGTCTTACGCAGGTTACCATGAGATTTCCCCAGTGCCTCTGCCCCAGTTGGCCACTAAATACCTTCAGCCTCTCACTTTTAATGGTTGCAGTGTCAGGATAAGGACATGCTAGCAGTCACAGAGGAGGAGAATCAAAAGTAGGATTGTCCTGGGTTCAGCTGTAGCAGTTGTTTTTCTCCTTCTTAATAGCTGGTGCAGTGCTGTGTTTTTGACTTTAGCCTGAGAACAATGCTGATAACACCGATGTTTTTAGTTGTTGCTGAGTAATGTTTACTGTGATCAAGGACTTTCTCAGTCTCATGCTCTGGCAGGGAGGAGGGTCACAAGAAGCCATGAGGAAGCAGAGACAGGACACCTGACCCAAACTAGCCAAAGGGGTATTCCATACCACATCACATCATTCCCAGTATATAAACTGGAGGGAGTTACCCAGAAGCAACCCATCGTTGCTTGGAGATGGGCTGGGTATTGGTCAGTGGGTGGTGAGCAATTGTATTGTGCATCACTTCTATTTACTGTTTTCTTTTCCTTTTCCCCTTTTAGTTTTATATTCTCTCCCCTTGTTATTTCTCTTATCATTATTATTATTGGTGGTAGCAGTAATGGTTTTGTATTGTACCTTAGTTACTGGACTGTTCTTATCTCGGCCCGTGGGATTTATATTCTTTTGATTCTCCTCCCCATCCCTCTGGGAGCAGGGGGAGAAGAAGAGGGGAAGTGAGTGAGGGGCTGTGTGTTTTTGAGTTACTGGCTTAAACCACAACAAGGAGGCATAATACAAGTGTCAGAGGACTCGTAGTCTGAGGCAGAATTAAAAAAAAGAATCTGCAGCAGTCAGACTCTCTCTTGCCTGTGCCTTTGTCTCTTCTGAAAGCAGCAAGGCAGCTGCATTTCTGAATGTATAAGGAATGCCATTTTGGGATTCTAAGGAAGAAGATTTTTCCTATCTTACAACTGAACCCTAATAGAATTTTTCTTTTCAGCTGCTGATTATAATTTTTGGTATGAAAATTTTTGCTGCTTGCTGTGAGTTGCATTTCATGCATGAAAATAAATAATAAGTCAAATTTGTTTAATGAAAATCAGTAGTAGCAAACCAGATACACACAAATATTTTGGACAGTTTAGTGCTGCCACTGGCAAAGTACAGATCTAAGTTTTTCAAAATAGCTGTTAGGAAGTCAATATGTTTCTGTATGTAGGCATGCTTGAAATGTTTACTCATGAACATTCTCTTAAGACACCCAGCAACACCCATACTACTTTATATATTTTTCCATATGTTCTGCACAATTCAGTTTGTTCTCAGGCAACACTATAAATTCTTATGTTTCTCTCTAGAGTTCTTTGCAAATTTTTGTCAATATATGTTGCATGCTGTTATTTACATTCCAGTAAATAAATCAGTTCACAATTTATTCAGAATTTATACAGAATGTTCACATACAGAATGAAAATTTTCATGCCTGTGGTTTTAAAAAAGGTATTTTTTCCAAGGAAACAAAGAGTTAGGTTTTATGGGTGGTTTTTGGTGCTCTTGTAGGTTTCTGTACTGTGGCTACTGCTCTCTTAATTACTTATTTTTGATAGAACAAATGGTACCATGATTTATCGCTGTCTTTATCAGGTGCTTAGCAATCATAAAACACTATTACAACATAGTAATGTTCACAAGAACATCTTGTGAGGACATAATAAAAAATAATAAGGTCATACATGACGTCAGTTCTGTGCTTTATTTTTCCAGGCTATGACAATTTCTTTTCAGAAGCAGCTGAGGTGGTTATAATTGCTTGTGACTTGCAAACATTGCAAATATTTCACAGATCTTTCACATGTATTTCCTATCAAATATGCTCACAGCAGTCTGTTTACCTCTAATCTAATGCCCACAAAATTCTGCACTATAAGCATTCAGGATTAATACACAACGTTCAAAATCAGTGCACAAGTTGACGGATGAATTTGTCCCTAAGACACACCCAAATATCCAGGCAAATATATCTGAGCAGCCAAAGACAAGAAGACAGTTTGATCTTTTGCGTGTCAACATACTTAATTTTAAAAATTAATAGTTGCAGAAGACAGTATTTCAGCAACTTACAACATGAAAGATGGTAAGACTACATACATCTCAATTGTACAGTCTGAAATACCTCACTACATTTTAATTGTAAACTTAAGCTTACACAGTTTTCCACCAAGTAAGTGTGGATTTTTTATAGGATCAAGTTTCTGCAGAAAGATGTGGACTTCATCTGTCCGTGACTGGGAAACTTTAATTCCAGGCATATTCTATAATAAAGGCAGATAATCTTAGAAAAATAATTAGGTTTATTTTTCTGATTTGTCTCTAGTCTATGTTGTAAGGATTTGGTAAGAGAGTGGAGTGTTTTAGCATTCAAATCACTCTCTACATATCAGATTAAATATAATTTATTATTTCAGTTTTCTCGTCTTCATTGGTTTAAAATTATTTCTAATAATATATTAGTTAATTCTTGTTTTCTTTTGGAGAGAAAGACAATTAATAACCTCTCTTCTTTCCAAAATAAAGTTTGGAACAGTATTAGGCTGCATTTTTTTAAGATGGTATTTTCTCTAGATTTTGAACATAATGTTTCGTAAATGTACTTAAGGGCAGAACTAAGATACCTGTTATTACACTATCTTATTCAAATAGGCAATGAGATGGATCCATTTTATTTTGCAGACTTGCTGTCCATTCCATTGTAATTCTGCCACTGATCTACTTCATAGTAGTGAGGAAAAATCCTTTTCGGTTTGCCATGGGGATGGCTCAGGCACTTCTGACAGCCCTCATGATTTCTTCCAGGTAAACAAAAGAATCATTAGTTTTCTGTAATGTTCTTTGTCGTAATTGTTTTTGTTTGTGCTCTGATTTTATTGCTACTTTGTTACATACCCTGATGTCACCTGGACAGTTCTCAGTCCCCTGGAAGTTTCATCATTATTTCTGTAGTACCCAAAGAGGCACTATAGATTGCAGTGGCCTTACACCAGCTCCTCTCAGGAAGAGACAGGTCATTAGTCACTAGATTTTAAGCTTTTGCACTGTTTCTGTGACTACATACATCATGACAATTTACCGTGTAATTTTGAGGATAGCTAAGACTTTGTTGTTTCTTCCCTTAGTTAGAAGAGATAACAAAAGTTACTTTGCTTTTTCATGGTACAGCCTTCCTGCCTGCCTTAGATCTCCATTTGAGTCTTAGAGCAGATCATACTCTGAGGAAAAAGAAAGATGAGGGAAATGGTATGCTGTTGCCTGCACTTACTTTATGTGTTTATCTATGTGGCAGTTCAGCAACTTTGCCTGTCACCTTCCGTTGTGCAGAAGAAAAAAACTTCATCGACAGAAGAATTACCAGGTTCGTTCTTCCAGTTGGAGCTACCATCAACATGGATGGCACCGCTCTTTATGAAGCAGTAGCAGCTATATTTATTGCACAACTGAACGACTTACAACTGAATATTGGCGAAATAGTTACCATTAGGTAAGACTAAAGCCATCACATGCATTTTGTTGGAGGTGGGTTTTTTAATAAATGGTGCATTGACTTTGGACACCCCATGAAAACATGAAGCTATCATGCATAGCACAGGAAGTAGCAGAAACATTATGACTTCTTGGTCCAAGGCCTTGCCTGGGCAACCTGATGAGGAGGTGGAATGGGCCAGGACATGCAGCTGGTATACAGTATTGTTCTGGAAATTGCCATTATTCTTCCACTGCAAACACTTGCAAACCCAACTCAGCCTCTACCTTTGATCCGTCCATCTTGCTTGTTCATCATGCATTGCATGTTATACTGCAGTGTAACTGTAGCAGTATCTATACATCACTTGTCCCATAAATTTGTCATCAGACTTTGAATAGGTACTATTCATACACATTTGGGCTTCTTTCTTGCAGTGAAATAAGCCTGTTCATGCCAAAAGATAGAGTTTCTGTGAGCAACATGTAATCTGAATGCCTTTTCTGGGCTTTATTTGTCATTTAGTGTTGCAGCTACAGCCGCCAGCATTGGGGCTGCAGGCGTTCCCCAGGCTGGACTTGTCACCATGGTGATTGTACTGACTGCTGTTGGCCTGCCTGCCGAAGATGTTACTCTGATCATTGCAGTTGACTGGCTCCTGTAAGTTTAAGGCACTTGATATTTTAATTGTTTTTCCTTCCTTTTTAATATTTACTTAAGTTGTGCGGGAACATGTGGGTCTGAAAAAGTAGCAAAACCTTTTAAGACTATTGCAGGAATTGGCCAAAGATTCTACATATGGCCGGGCTTGTTCAATATAGAGTTGAATGCAGTAGTGTCTTTAATTCTGAGAGAAGTCCCACTGCATGGGATGGCAGTGAATAACCTCACATCCAGAGGTGCTTCCAGAGGTGCTATCAACCTTAAAATAGTGGCCACAGCATTAATAAATTATAAGCGTACCAAGGAGTGCCTCTGGCATGTCAGCTGCCACCATATGGTGCTAAATTCATACACCATTCATCGAAATCACAAGCAGACCATCTCAGCTGTTTTCCACAAAGCACATAAAATCCATACATCGGTGAAGAGGTAGTGGAGCACAACATGAACTAGGCAAAGCTGGTCCTGGACTCCACATGTACACACATGGCAGGCTGTAGATGAGTCTGTGCTGCCAGCATTACTTTGCCATGGCTGTTCTTCACTGAGAGTTTTTCGCAGACCTGGTCCTTTGATCAGCAAGCACACACATACAAACTCAGAAAGCACTCCTTATCCTGATCCCAGCCATCTCATCTGAGAGCACATCAAAACCCCTCAGTCCCATTAAGCAGCTCAGAAAAGCATTTTCAGCAGAAATCTTTTCTGTTCAACTTATACTGAGATGTTTCTCTGCTACTTTTTCAAAAGCCCAAAGAATCACAGACGTCAGTATTCAGCTTTATTCCATGATTCACCTGGAAAGAGTAACAGAATCTGCCTCCTAAACTGTGCAAGCTTTAGCCCTCAGATCAAGGTCTTGTTCATTTGCCATAACTAAACATGGATAATATTTCATTGGTGTCAATGCAGAGATCTTAAATCTCTGTCTCTGCATGGCTTTTTCTTAGGCTTATATTTACACTCGAGGTAGAGTCCTGTTCTTCCCCTACCCTTTCTAATCATTTTGTTGAAGGATTTCTGGCAGCAACCTGTGTATTTCACAGATATATATAATTTATTTGATTACATAACTCTGTTTTGCAAGCATTTCTCTCTACTGTATGTTATGCTACTGTATGTAGTTATGCTGCATAAGCATAACTGCTCCAAACAAAATAGCTCCAGCCACAAGTACATTCTCCCCATCAACTGCCTCCCACAGGGCCTAATAGGTTTGTTTGCTGTGCTCCACAACCTTTTCATTTTCTTCAGCGCTCTTTTCCTAGTGGGTGTTAAGTTTTGTTAAGGATGGTGAAGATCAGTAAAAACTCCCTGCTCAGAGCAGCTCTCTAAAAAAATGGGAGGACAGAAGAAATGTATATTGGTTCTTTTCCCAAAGTACTGTCCTAGCCTCCTGCAAACTGCAGCTCACAGAGTTCCTGAGGTAGAGGTGGTTTTTGTTCTTAACAGTTCTCAATAGACTCCTTCTTCCATGAATGCCTTATTGCTTTTGGGATGCATATAAACTTTTAGATTTCCTCAAGTCCTGCAGAAAGGAATTCTACAACTGAACAATGTGTTGTGCAGAGAGATGTTTTGTTTTGTTTTAATCTACGTCCTAATAATTTTATTTGATGCCCTCTAATTCTTTCATGGGAATGAGAGAGGAAGAGAATGGTAATTCCCTATTTCTCACAGTAATCATAATTTTACAGATCTGAATTCATCTCTGCTTTGAAAGTCCACAATTTACATGATTCTTAGACACAATACAAATACATGGAAACTACCTGTCCCACCATGAAACAGGCCAAAAATGCAAGCTGTTTCTAATCGAAATGTTTTTGAGATTAACGTATCTTGCTGTGTAAAGCAAATTAAAGATTAATTCCATGTACAAGGGATCATCACCAGTGCATTTTGCACCTCAGCAGATGGAATGCACATTGTGATGCCACGTAGATTATTAACAGTTTCACCTTTTGTACTTATTGCCTAAAATGTATTATTTTACAACCCACTAGTAGTGGCGTATTAACAGTCCTCTAGTTAATTCTGAACTTGCCACAGTTTTATTATGTAGGCTTGAGGAGAACTTCCATGTTTTTAATCAGGAATAGAAAAAATTTGAGAAGTACTATGAAAGATGAGTTTCCAGTGTGGTTGGTTTCCCCACTTGTCACACTAATCCCACCAGAATTTTATTTTACACCTCTCTCTTCCTTTCTCTAACATGTATTTCCTTTCCACATGGAGAACACATGGGTCCTTTTTAGCAGTGGAGTTCAGCAGCTATAGTAAAAGAATATAGATATAAGACACGTTGATTCACCTCACTATGGCTTTTTTAATCCCTTATATTTGTGAATATATGCACCCGTTCTGCCAGAGAGCCCTTGCAGGGCTGTGTAGCTGCAAATTACAACAGGGAAGCATGATCTTCCACAGTCCCTACCTGAAAATGCTGGTTTTCAAACTTTGCTATATTGTATGGTTCTGTTGCTCCTCTGCCAAATAGTGGTGGATTTTTAAGGCTTGCAAGTCACTTTTAGTTCAGAGAAAAATCAACAGTACACAAGTTTTGTATTTCTTTAAAGTGACATGCTTAATACAGCTTTGTACTTCAACCTTTTAACAATGAGAAGCTAACAGAAGATAGCCTTTCCCATTTCCAGGCTTTGGGCCAGAATACTGAAGATACTGATCTAAGTGCTCCTTTGGCTGAGAGAGTGACTGTTAGAAAGACAAAAGGCACAATGCAGTCTCTTCTGCTGCACCACACAGACTCTCCTCCCAACAAAAACAGTCTCACCACAGAGAACCAGCTGTGTAGCATACTTCAAGGCCTGAGAAGCGTTCCCATTCTGTAATGGCTTGCAGTTTTGCACACCCTGCACAAAGTCATGAAAGTGACTCCAGGTTTCTTCAAATACATGAGGGGAAAATTCCATTTCTTGTTCTACACGATTTTTTCCTTTCAATTGCAGAATTACCCCAAATCTGCACAGAGTACCTTACTTTTACTAAAATGATTTTCGTCTAAGTAACACACAAAATGGTTTGTCTGACAATATTTTTATTCCATAGGGATCGATTCAGAACAATGGTAAATGTCTTGGGAGATGCCTTTGGTACAGGGGTAGTGGAGAAGCTCTCTAAAAAGGAGCTGGAGCAGATGGATGTCACCTCCGAAGTCAACATAGTCAACCCTTTTGCCTTGGAAACAACAATCCTTGATAATGATGAAGCAGAGACCAAGAAATCATACGTCAATGGAGGCTTTGCTGTGGATAAGTCTGATGCCATATCCTTCACACAGACATCTCAGTTCTAAAGCCAGTAGCTTTCAGGTAAAAAAGGAGCATTAAAGGACATGGCCATATGCAGTATTTCAAAAAATTAAAGCATAATTGATAGTTAAGTACTTCTTACATCCATTTGATTTACCACACACAGATTCTGATTCTCCTTACCAGTTCTGCCCTCTTCTCATCACCTTTCCCAACAATTTTAGTCCTTGCTGATAGGTTGAAGAAAAAGACAGTTGTAAAATACTTTTTTTTTTTTTTTCCTAAGAATATACACTATTCCTGAGGCTATGAGATGCCTCTTTGGAGTCAGCATGCTCATAAATAGGTGTCTTAGCTGGGACAGCCAAATGTGTTTTACTCAGGAGTAGTACAGCATTTCATATGTTACCCACATTACAGAGCACCCATATGAAGTCCCTTTTAACATCCTTGCCTTCTAAACAGATTGCACTGTACTTGACACCTACTGTAACTTGCATGTGCCAAAATACTCATTTTTGCAGCTGAGGGGATAGCACTTGGGTGATTCAGGAAGTAACAGACCAGGAAGGTCTTGTAATAAGTATTTTACTGTGAACAGGGTTTCATTTTGCTTTAGTTGTGAAAAAATCAGGCATGGAAGAATTCCCAGTGTTTATGTAGCTAGTTTTCCCCATGCCTTCCATGTGAATGCCAGCTGCTGGGATTGCCCTTCAGATGTGAAATAAGTTGCTGTGGGTTTGTCTTCTGGCATTTGCAGAGCTTTTGAAAAGTGATACTTCACTGATTTAGGTCCACGTTGATGGCCTCCTAGCACTTTTCCATTAGAAGTAGAAATAAGTCTGTTCACCATTGACTTTAACTAAATATTTATCAGCCCAAAGGTAGGCAGAGGTCATGAAGATGAAAATAGACTATATAGCAACACATAGCGCAAATTCTAACTCTTTCCTCCTTGAGATAAAACCAGATGTAATATCAAGCATATAGGAGGCATACGTTTTTTAAAAAGAAGCCGCTGTCACAAAGCTTTTTACACAGACTGGTTGGGTTTTTGCTCCTTGGTTTTGTTTGCCAGTTGAACACCCAAGTTTGTAGCTGCAACACTACTACAGTGCCAACATGTCACCTAAACTGTATTTTATGAAGCATTTCTGGACCCAGAAAGTCATGTCTTCAGTTGGCTTGCTATAGGATAAGAAGCACCAAGAACTTCCTCATAAAAATCTCAATTTTCTAAAACATTTTATACAAGATTTCCATGGTGCAAAAGTCACTCTCTAAAGGGAGGAGTTGCTGTTAAAAATTTTTTTGCCTTGCATATTAGACTTGTGAGCCATTTTTTATGTAAACTGAAATTCATATATAGTTCTTTGTTTGTAAATAAGCTTGTGGTAAACTTAAGATTGCACTCATATGCTAACAAAAATCTTCAAGTTCCTGCAGTGTTACATTCTCAATTGAGTCCTACACTTTTGTACTTAAGTAAAACAGACGCGTGCCAAAGAGAACTGATTAAGAACAGAAGAAAGTAGTCACTGTAGGTTTTTGCTAAACTGCACCTTAAATCAACAAGTCAATGAGATATAATACTGTATTTAGATTGAAGTCTGTAAACTGTTTGGAAGTGTTAATCTAAGTAATGGTATGTTTATACAAAATGAAGAAAATGTGCAGGTTGAGTAAGTCAATCTTTTACCTGTGCAGAAATGGTATGAAACAGTCTTAATTTGTACAGCTTTGCTTGTGGGAGGAAAAACCGGCCAGTTTCCAACTAGCCTATAATCTACACTTTGTCTTTTCTTTTTAAAGTTAGACTTTTACGATCACCCCATTATATAGTCACACTATTGTGATGTATTGTGAACAGTGTTCCTAACGTGTTCTAAATAAATAAATAAATACTGTCTTTACTCTTGTTTTAGCCGCCAGCCTCTCCTCAATGTAGAATGTTGAATTCCTCTAGCTATATCAAGAAAAACAAAACATAAATTTAGAATTTATGTTATCTTAGCTAGTGACTCAGCTGTGGCTTTGGCAAGAATTACTCTCTTCTTCCAATAAATTAAATGCTTCAGAGCACAATGCTGAGATTGCAAGAAAGTCCTTTAACTATGAATTATCTTGGTTGGGAGTATACTATTAAACATACTCTAAGCAGGAGATTATCTATTTATTGTTTATTTATATGGATCAGATTCAACTAAGGAGGGGTTGATGGTGCTGTTTTGCCATCTGTTTCCCACCAAGAGACCAAAGCAGATACTGAAGATACTGTTAAGTTCAAGGATGATTTTCCTTAACACAATATTCTGAGTATGAATCTTCTGTATATGTGGAAACATTGTGCATGAGCAGTGCTTCATCTTCTCCTAGTCTGGAAGCTTTGAAGAGTGGTGTAGAGTCTCCCATCAGAAAAGCACCTACAGGTTTTGACCTTTTACCCCATGTTGTTACATTCCTGTGCGGCCTTTGAAGCTGCAGAAGCTATCATAGGATTGGACCCTGTATTTTGAATAGCATATGTGGCTTTAAGTCATGGAAGACAAAGTTACTCATTCTGCTGAAATACACAGGGACTTGTAGTTTATGCTGAGAAAAGCAAGCACCTGGACATAAACGTAGACAGGTCTGTAAATATGCACAGGCCAGCTGCATCAGCTCCACTGGCATTTAAACTTGCCACAGCTTAAGTCCATCTGGCTCCTCAGTACCATGCTGCCACTCTCTCACATCCCCCCACACCATGGGATGGGAGGAGAAATAGACGAAAGATAAAAACACATGGGTTGCGATAAGAACAGTTTAATAATTGAAATAAAAGTAAAATGCTATTATAATAATACAATAGTACAACAACGAGAGGGAAGGAGGAAGGGAGGGGTAAGCCCTGCCCCCCCAAAACCCCAGAGGTTTTGCACTACTGCTCACCACCCACTGACAACGCCTTGCTTGTCACAGCCCCTCCCAGACAACTCCCCTCAAAGTTCAACCACTCCCCCAAACTCATGGTTAGGTCCTTCCCGTACGTTACCGTTTCAGGCCCTGTTTGACTGTGTACAATGTACCTGGGAGCACCTTGTGTCATTCGGCAGGTGAGATGCCGAACAATTGGAGCATGCACAGCTGTGCAGAGCTACAGCCAGGCAGAGTTTTCCTGGTTTATAACTGCGGAGCACAAAGAAGGCAGGACTGCCAGGGCACAGGAGGCAGACCAGGTAAGGGCCAGCAACCAAGCCACAGCACCTTGACCACCAGAACAGTATTTCATGCTGAAAGTGCAGAAAGTGTAATGGGGAAAGGCCATGGCCTGCTTATAAATACTCTTTCTGGAAACCAATATATCCATTTGCGGTTGGCAAAGGCAAAATTCTGATTCGACAGGGTGTGTTTTTTCTGATCCCCTACTCTTCATAGGGTTTATCAAAAGTTGCACTGTTCCTGACAGTCTTGATTGGCCCCCAAAAGCCTACATCGTTACCAGCATTCAGAAGAACGTGTAAGGATGAAGGAGCAGCAGAGAGGAGCTGTTAGGGACTGACCCTTATCCCCATTCCCCATCCTCCTGGGCTGCTCAGGGTGAGGTGGAAGCAGAGGAGTCAGCAAAGAAGGAGTGAAGTCAAACCTGGGAAGAAGGGGAGCTGGGTTGGGTCCTGGGCTCCTCAGTGCAAAAAAGACAAGGAGCTACTGGAGAGAGTCCAGTGGAGGCCACAAGGATAACGAGGAGTCCAGAGCATCTCTCTTATGAGGAGAGACTGCAGGAGCTGGGCCATTTAGTCGAGAGAAGACTGAGAGGGGATCTCATTAATGCATATCAGTATCTCACAGGTGGGTGCCAGCAGGGTGGTGTCAGGCTCTTTACAGTGGTGCCCAGCGACATGACAAGGAGCAATGGCCATAAACTAAAACACAGGTAGTTTCACCTCAACATAAGGAAGAACTTCTTCATGTTGTGAGTGGCAGAGCCCTGGAACAGGCTGCCCAGGGAGGTTGCGGAATCTCCCTCTCTGGAGACATTCAAAACCCATCAGAACATGTTCCTTGTGTAACCTGCTCTAGGTGGCCCTGCTTTGGCACGGGGGTTGGACTAGATGACCTCCAAAGGTCCTGTCCAACCCTGACAATTCTGTGATCCTGTGGGTGAGGTTTTGTTTTTCACCATCCAACTATATTTTTGCTTTGCAATAAATTAAACTAATTTTCCTTAAGTCTAATCTGTTTTGCCTGTGACAGTAGTTGATCACTGATATCCCTGTCCTCATCTCACTCAGCTCTTGAGATTTCCCATCTTATTTTCTGTCCTCTTGTGGAGGTGTGAGAGAGTGGCTGGGTAGGCAGCTGACAGCTGGTCAAGGCTAACCCATCACAATGACATGTACAGTATATACATATGTAGAAGTATAACTAGAAAGGGGTGAATAAATGTTTATATATATATTTTAGTTATTTACACATAGATACACTATGCACTGTACTAGATGATAGAGCTACTACTACTACTACTACTACCCTACACTATATAATAGATAAGACATTCATCAAGATACAGGAATATGAATAGCCCTAAAATCAAAGGTATAAAATAGGCAAAACATTATTTAATAAGAGCTAATGGAATGAATAGGCCAGGGGAGGGTCCTGCAGAACAAGCACTACATGTCTGGGTGGGGGGAACTTGAAAAGGACAAAGGGACACCAAAAGGGTGATGGGTCACAGATGTGTTGGGATGTGCCTGGGGGCTGCAGACCCCTCCCAGCAGACCAACAGGAGGTCCCGAGTGCAAATCCTGTCACATGCAGAGACTGATTTTGTGAGCTGGACCACGAAGGAAAGGACCTTAAAGGAATCCCCCAAACAGCCATGTGAATGAGAAAAACCAGCTGGTGGGCTTGTGAATCGCACAGTGGCTTTTGAAGTGTCACACAGTGAGGGTGGGTGGTGGGCAGAGCTCCATTTGCCTGTGGTTGTGGGGATCTTTCAGCTACCTGTAAACCCACTACAGGCTGCTGCTACGTATGTTACCTTGTCTTCAGGACAATGACCTTACAAAAGGTTTCAGGAAGGTCGGTCTGACTGAGCAAGGGGGAATCGGGACCTGGCCATGACTTGTCTGCCTTCTTGTCTGGGCCTGCAGAAGCCAAAGGAAGGAGTATGAA